AAGCGCGAAACCTGCGGGGATGACTATAATGCGCAATACAAGCACTATTTAAATGGAGCGAATGAGACGTGTGTGAGAGAGAAGGGGTCGTCGGAGAGATGAGAGTGAGAATGCGCGGCTGATGTTATTGCCTGTGCCGCTGGTAACAAAATGGATCGGCTCGAAATCGGAAAGAAGTGAGACTGACCGACCGGTCACCGATCCGGGCCGATCATGAGGAAAATCGGCCGATTCCGATCCCTGGCCGATCGATCGGTGCATCTCTAAAAATTTGTTATGAACTGTAAAAAAATAAATACAATAAAAATCTGTAAATCCAAAATGAATGCTTAGTTGCAAGCATGCTAAAGATCAGCTGATAGGCTGTTGATTCATTAGTAAGAGTCCTCTCAAAAGTAGTTTATTCAGCATACTCAAGCATAATGTCGAAGATACGTTCTGTATGTCTAATTAGATAGCATCACTGATGTCAGCTGATATGTTATATTCATGTTTGGTCATGTCTTTTTGTTCCCCCTTGTGAGCAGTGTAAGCAACACTGTGTGTGCCTTGATTATGATATTGGTCATGACACATTCACTTAACAAGTATTCAGCTCACCCACTGACCAGACCAAATATAAGAAAGAACAAACAGTATAATTTAACAAAACAAGATGGCTAATGAATTTTAAATACACTTGTTATTCATTCAGTACCAAAAAGTATCCATTAAAATAGTTCAGTTTGATTAAAAATTGACTATTTTACCCAGTATTTCTGTGATATGAATGTTTTTATGCTTACGAGTTTTAGCTTAGCAACATATTAACATTACACTATTGAAATCAGCTGTGAGCCGAGCCTATTCGCAAGTCATTTGTATGACTTGTAGAGTTACTGCATATGTAAAATGTTCTATATCAGCTGAGTATGAAGGCAGTAGACAGCAAGGCAGCTTGTTAGGCTTTGGAACAGAGCCATTTCTCTGAGCAAGGTAGCTACTCTTTCTGCATAGACCTCACGTATACTGTAGTAATTATAGTCATAGGGTAAATTTCAAAAATTGTATTTAAAAAATGGCTGAGGTTATGTTTAGCTTTTTGAACAAGTAATAAGTCGTATCATCTATCTTGAATGTATCATAGACAAGCTGCTATATATTGATTGCCACTTCAGATAGCTGTGAAATTAGATTAGACTAGTTCATATCTGCATTCGTTTATTTGTATGGGTCTCTCTGATTGCCTAAACTAGAAGTGGATTTTGATTTTGAGTAATTTTTTTGCTTCAATGTTTGAAGTGTCATTGTAACTACTGTACTGCTGATACTGGACATTTAGAATTTTTTCTTCTTTTCTTTTTTTTTTCAAATCAGTATTGTATCTTCATAACCGTTTTGACTCATCACTGCATATTAATGGATGTATTTGTGTAACTTAATTTTCGTATGTTTACCTGTTTATCTGTTTTTGACTTGTAATAGCTTGCAGGATTGATTTAACTTTATCCTAATGAACAGTTATTCTGCAGTGTTTCAGAAATACAAACATCTGTATTTTTGTTAAGGTTTTTTCTTTCTTGGTTAATATGATAATCAATCCCATAACCTCATGCCACTGAGCACTTACTAAAACTATAGTGTGCAGTAACCACATGGCCATGCTTTGATATACAGTGGTGTGATTCAAATAAATTAGTCTCCAAATGAATTGTGATTTTATTAATGTTTGTCATTTGAAAATTGAGAACATGTTTGTAACAAATTATCACTGATGTCAGCTGATGTGTTATGTTCATGTTTGGTCATGGTCATGTTTTTTTCTCTCTCTCTCTCTCTCTCTCTCTCTTTGTGAGCAGTGTAAGCAACACTGTGTGTGCCTTGATTATTGTATTGGTAATGACACATTCACTTTGCAAAAACAAGTATTCAGCTCGCCCACTGACCAGACCAAATATAAGAAACAACAAACAGTATAACTTTCCATTCCAGGGATCGAAATGGTTATATACATGTTTAAAAAAAATCATAGATGTTCTTAATTTGAGTTATTAATCACTAATATATGTCTAGTTAATCTTAACCAGCTAATTATATTTTGATTATAATTTTTTTTTGGATATTCTAATTTCAGTCTGCATAAAGAATGTAATGTATTGCACCCTGTGCATGTTTCGATCCCTGTGAAATGGCATCCACCAGCATTTAGCCTGAATACATCCAATGACAATATAGAAAAAACTGTATTCAACACTTTCGATATCTATTGTATGTTCATATTTAAACAAATTCAAAAGGATATGGATGATTTATGTTGAACTCTTTTCTATTAACAGCATTCAATAAACATTATTGCCACAGTTTTAATGACATTCAATGTTTTTATGCATTATATTATTATTATGGAAGTAATGTATTGGCAAAATTTTTCTGAATTATTTTACCTAAATTATTTACCATTCAACCTGAAAATGACTTCCCAATATGTTTTTTTTTTTTTTTTATCTGTGTATACAAGTTCCATAGTTTCTAGCATATTTTACAATCTGTCAAAGAAGTTATTTCACACTGCAAGTTGTGGATCCATGTTTCAATTACTTGGTTAATTAAGAGTTTATTAAATTAAACTGTTATTCACTGGTTTGATATTTGTAGACTTTTGTGGCTTTTTTGAATTTTTAATTTTTTTCTTCTTTTATGATTTGATGCTACACTAGTCTGTCATGTAGCACTTGCACTGTGCAATATTTAACAGTATGAGGACTGGGGAAATGTAACCCTTTGGATATAATGTCTTTACAGAGTGTAATTGATGTTTCATCTCTAGTTCTCAGTGAATAAAGATGTGACCAAGCCTTCTCAGTCACATTAAACATAATTTCCAGGTGACTTTTGGTGAGTGAATACGAATTCATGGTGTTGTATTGTCAAGATTCACTTTGCATACAAAAGAAAAATAAAGTAAAAACAGAGCAAAAATCTAATGTTGCAACCCTTTCTTCTTTTAGAAACAAAATATGGCAGGTATCTTTGTAGAACTTCTTTGCAGTACATAACATTAGATGTTTTAAATATTTTCTTTTCATCATCATAATCATCTTTTTGCCAATACATACCTTATGTATCTATTTATTTAAACAAAGTGTCCCATTGCACTATAGGAAGTTTAAAAAAATAATGTAACTTACTGTAATAATATTGTAACTCCTATGTACACCTTTGTTATGTGACTATATTCACAATAATACACAAATCAATCAATCAGTCAATAAATAATTGAATACTGGTAGCGATCTATCAGTGACCCTTTAATTTACATTGTTACAGTAGGTGGCCACAAGTATCATTCACAGAGTTACTCAATATTAACTACATGTGTTTAACTGTTGTATAAAGCAATTTCATAACTGTTTCAATACACTACATGTCAAAAGTTTGAAATTAAGATATGTTTGAATGTTTTTGAGAAGTCTCATGCTCACCAGACCATCAAAAATACAGTAACAGTACCAGATCAGCATATTAGAATGATTTCTGAAGGATCTGAAGACTGGAATAATGGCTGTTGAAAATTCAGCTTTACCATCACATGAATAAATTACATATTAAAATGGAAGTAGGGTGCACCATCTCGGTGACCCTCTTCACGCTGGCAATGAACATGCAGGTCAAGTCAGCAGAGACGGAGTGCAGAGGCCCTCTCAGCAAGTCTGGAGTGAGGCAGCCTCCTATAAGAGCCGCCTTGGACCTCATAGTGACAACAGTGCTCAGAGCCTCCAAGGGTTAGAGAAACTCATGGCATGGGCGCATAGGAGTTTTAAACCCCCAAAATTCTGCTTTAGGTTTGGAGAAGACCTGATCTCGTCTGTCACCGACAAAACAGTAAGGAGTCTTGGGAAGGTCTTCAGCTGCAGCCTGAAGAACACAGACTCCATCAAGGCCACTACAGACGATCTGGGGCCTCATGTATCAACTCTGCGTACGCACAAAAACTTTGCGTACGCCAGCTTTCACGCTCATGGTTGGATGTACTAACAGTGAAATTAACGTGAGAATGTGCGGTTCTCCACGCCAACTTCATGTCTGGCGTACGTACATTTCTCGTGGTTTTTGTCCGTTGGCGACTCCTAGAGGCAATGAAGTGAAGTTGCAAACATTAGACTACAAATTGTTCTACAAGTCGATCTTAGTATGAATTCAACGCAAGTCTTTGTACATGAGGCCCCTGGTGAGGTGGCTGTGAACTGTGCTGTGGTCTTGGCTCCCTGGGAAATTTAAGGCCTGGATCTAACAGCACGGAATTCTCCCAAGAATCCTCTGCCCCTGCTCATCTGCGATGTCCCTATGACTGTAGTGAAAGACGTTGAGCTAAAGTGAGCAGCTACTGTATCTATGCAGATGGTTGGCCGTGCCATGCAGCTTGAGCAGTATTTGTTTGTATGGAAATTCCTTTCCGTTCCATCAGGGAGGAATTCATCATTGCACAGGCACAAGAACACCTGCAGTATTCAGGGTCGAAGGATGCTAAAGTGCCCAGAGCAGGCATCGTCGTAAGGACAGGGAGGAAATAGAAGGCAGCTAAGGCAGTCCAACAGACAGAAGTTAGGCTGATGCACAAGGCTCTCCTCAGAACTGTGGCTCAGGGCAGGGCTGGACTCGGAAGCTCAACACCAACCTGATGCAACACTGCCAGTGAGAAGGAAAGGTGGAGGTGGAACT